TCATCATTATAATCACTGCGACAATTAGTTGAGTTGCGAAGAGGCTCGGCCTGCCGTACCCACCGAGGTTCAGCAGGACGGCGTGGTTCTGCTTGATGTTCCTGTAGCGCCGCTTCTCGCACTCGGCCAGATCGCTCCACTCGGCCTTGGTGAAGAAGCCTCTGATGTCTCGGAAGTCGCCCATCTCCTGCTGCTGCTGCTGAGGCGCAGAGACACGGAGGGACGAGACGCGGACGACGGTCAGATGCAGTCACGGAGATGGAGTCACATGGAGACAGAGTCACAGGGAGACAGAGTCACAGGGATACGGACTAAGATCCCCCGTGTGGCCTTAACAGACTGTCGGAAGGCGAGGTAACTCTACCTCAAGCGATGTAATATAACGTTAGGTCGAGGTAACATTACCTCAGGCAGAGGTAAAATTACGTCAGCTAAGGTAACATTACCTCACCTGAGGTAACATCACCTCAGATGAGGTAACATCACCTCAGGTAAATGTAACATTACTTGAGGTAATCCGAACGTGTTCACATCACTTCAGCTAATGTTCATATTTTTACGCTAATATCGTAAATCGTCACGTGGTTAAATCGTTAAACACAACGCTCGCGTGACGTCACCACCTCAGTGTCGAGCCGTCGACACTTCACGCGGCAGCCTCGAAGTGCACCCAGCCTGGCACAGGCGCCGTGGTGACGTCACCGTCACTGAGTGGCCAATGGCGGCGATTGGCGGTGGTGGGAGGGGAGTGGGGGGGGTGATGGGGGGGGGAGTGGGGGGGGTTTATTATCGGAGTCGCAAAAGTTGCTACAAATGCTACGGGCCCCGCACTTTCAAGGGCCCCGCGCTAAATGCTTTCAAGATATCAATTCGGGTTAATTGATTCTGCACTTGCTCTATTACTATAGTACTATACAGACTTCAACTTTTTTTTTTATGAACGACTGGGTGTTTAAGGTTAGCGATTAGTCGTATTATCCGGCTGTATAGCAAATGAAAAAATACAAATACTTTACTGTGCAAGTAAAAAAGTGTTTTAATGTTTACGTTTTAAAAAAAATTATTGGGCCCCTTTCTAGCACATGCTACAGGCCCCGAACTAACTTTATCCGGCACTGAGGGTAAGGTAATCAGAATGTGATGCAATCCGTATCAAATCACGTTATATTATAAGGTAATCTTCACCGCGACATTCTCATTCAGTGCAAAGTAAATCTTGTACAATTAATTAGTCGCTCGTGTCAACACTGTACGAGATGTGTAGCTGTAATCGTAACGTGAAGTCGTCTCGTAGCGTAAATCTTACACGATTTAAAATTCGCGTGAGATAGAATCCTCACTTGACTACTGGTAGGAACCTCCTGGTTACACCAGCCCAGGGGATTATTGTGTCCGTCCGTCCGTCGTGTAGGGAGGGGCTGGGTGGGGAGGGAGGGGCTGGGTGGGAGGGAGGGGCTGGGTGGGGAGGGTGGGGATGGTTGGGGAGGGGAGGGGCTGGGTGGGGAGGGTGGGGCTGGGTGGGGAGGGTGGGGCTGGGTGGGGTGGGGCTGGGTGGGGAGGGAGGGGCTGGGTGGGGAGGGTGGGGCTGGGTGGGGGAGGGGGGAGGGAGGGGCTGGGTGGGGAGGGTGGGGCTGGGTGGGGAGGAGGGGCTGGTAGGGGATGGGGT